AATACTGAAACAATCTGGAGACTGGATGGAACCTTTCTGTTCAGGAGCGTCTGTGATTTCTTTCCCTTACGGGATAATCCTAGCTAAGTTAGGAAAACAATGTTGAGGGCAAGAATCTCAGTTCTGGAGAACGCCATTTATTCTGCTGAGGATTGAAGTAATGATGTTCCTTGGATCACTCTAATAAAAAAAAAAAAAAAAATTAAAAAAAAACCCAAACAGAAAATAAAAGAAGCAATACATTTTAGATATATGTTTTACAAAAGCAATAGAAGAGAAAAAAGTTCATGCAAAAGACAGTTAAAAGAGAGGCTGTAAAATATGAAAAAGGTGAAGAATGTTGGATAGAAATTCTGAAATGTTAATGTCGTTTATAATGTGGTACAATCTGTTATGGGTGGAAATATTTACTTCACAAAGCTTACATTTGATTCTTCTAAAATACTTTAATTGCTGTGTAGTATTTCTATTCTATATTGTAGTTTGTATCCTTTGATGCACACAAAATCTAGGGCAAACTGGTTTCCCCTTTCAAAATAAGCCATTGAAAAAATTATGTAACTCCAGCAAAGCACTTCCATCTCTTCCTTGGTTCTAATTTGTTGTTCCTCTGCTAATTTTCATAATTTTTCTGTTTTAAATCTTTCAACTGAAGAATTCTATTGTTTGACAGAAACCCAATTTTGTAGGTACAGGCACATCCTAATTGTTGCATTATGTACCTGCTATTCCTTTGACTTTATTGGAAGTCTAAAGAGTAAGTGATAAAAATGGAACAATTACAATTAAATGGAAAGTACTGGTTATTAAAACCAACCTGAAATTCTCCATTATGTGTAAGTGATATCTTTTGCATGCTGGTTCAGAGGTAAAGTTCACTGCAACAACTTCTTAAACATCTACTGTGGTGTTTGCAATGCAAATAAGCTGAGACTGCATAGTCTTCAATCCTCTCTCTTCCCCCATGTTGTCTTTAGTGTAGTGTACATACTTGAAAAACTTAATTTCTTGTTCTAAATATCTGCATGGCCAATATTACTCGGTGTTGCTTAACATCACTTCTGCTTTTTCTTTTTTAAAAAAGTATTTTATTACAGATAATTCTTACTCAAAATGATAGTTTATCAAAATATTTCATATTAAAGTTGTAAAATAATTTCTGCTTCTAGAATGATGACCACATGACTGCACTCGGGGGGAGAGGAGGAAGCAGTTGTCCACTCGAGCAAGAGACAGTAAGTATTGTGTAATTTTTTGCAGTATATTGTATACCTGTTACACTGTATCTGTGCTTTTGAAAGCACATGCTTCTTTTTAGCATGATCCCAAGGATTCTTTTTGCTACACCAGATTTTGTAATTCTCACAAACATGTTCATAACCTCCATAACCACATTACTGCTGGGTTTATATCACTCTTGATAAATAATTTTGTAAAATTTTGATTAATATAGATTTATTTTTTTTCCTTGAACCTGGACCCAGACAGAATTTTAACACATGTCTGAATGTCACACCAGAAGAAATTCCATTGCTTTAGGCATATTTGTGAGAGATTTACATACTACTTTGGTCCTGGGGTGCATTTCCTGTATCCCCTTATGCTCATTTTCTGATCATATGTCTCCAGAGAATATAATGGCAATTTCCACATTTATTTTAAATTATCAGGCTTGCTCAACCAATTGTATTACAGGACACATTGGTATTTTAATTTTTTATTTCCGGGAGACAGACAGAGGGACTTGCTTGGTTGGTTTGAACTGTTTGTTGGCAGTGTTTTCACGTTACTAAATTTTTGTGATTTTTTCCAAAACCCAAAACATTTACACTAGAACTATCTTACAAAAGACGTTGCAGAAAGAAGCATTTGTTGCTCTGCCTTTCATTGTTTTTCATGCTGCCAAGTAATTAGTATTACATTCCTTTTTTTCTTTTTTTTTTTTTTTTTACCTTAAGTGACCTCATGATTTTTCATAGTGCTATCACTAAGGAACTGTTGCCACTTAAGTGGGGACTGTTAGAGCACCCCTTACTTTACATGATCATGCAAGCTTCCAGTTCTTTATTATATATCTATGTAGTGTGTTTTAGTTTGGTTCTAGTCTGAAGTTCATATTTTTATATTGTCAACATCACCTGTAATTACTGTACTAGCTTTCCTAACGCAGGGAGGAGAGTTATGATAAAGGATGTTACTTCATTGTTTAGCTTCTCTATGTAAGTTCAGGATTACTGAATGCATAGTTAGATAAATTTCCCATCTACTGAGAACTACGCTGCTGGTAGTTCTTTGCTGACCAGCTCACAAATCACCACATAGAATTTACAATAGTAGAATAATTTCCATCTTTTCCCATTCATAACTGATTTAATCTGTTTAATTGGTGACGTGGAAGTATGAAAATACAAGTGACATTGGCTACAGTTTTACGCACATAACTCGTAAGTGATCTTACTCAAAATGGAAATAGAAATATAAAAAGCACTGCACAGTTCAGCAGTCTTAGGATTTAAATGCATGCATGAGTAATAAAAAAAGGAAGTTTTTTCTCCAAATCGCTATCTTCATAATAACTTTGCTGTTTCCTTCAATCCCCTATAACCTCCTATCACTCCTAATGATCCCTGTTTCTGACCTCTTATAATTTTGTAGAGGAATCTGAAGTGAAGATTATATGTAGGGAAGCAGTGTTCTTTGTGTAAAATAGGTCATAACTTTGCTCTTCACTTCTGATGAGGGAAGTGAGCAATTCCCTTATTCTTTCACTTCACTTGTTTTCAGTCTTTTCTGCTCTGAATTCATCAGGATGGGTTTTTGTTCATAAGGCACAGGAAATAAATAAGAACTTATACTTGATATTTTCATATTCAGGCTTCTGGTCATGTATTCTATCTAGTATGCATGGCGCTGACCACTATTAGTACTTTTCTCCAGAAGAGCGTAGATGGTACTGTATTTCCCTGGCAAATGGATTTGTTATGTGAAATGGAATATAAATGTATTTTTGGCAGATATTTGTAAAATTGCATATGCAAATACTTATTTCTAAACAAAAAAAAGAAAAAGTGGAGTGATCAAAGCAAAACTTTGCAATGACATTTTTGTACTAAATTTTTCCTTCGGTAAAACTGTCGTACTGTTGAAGTATTTATTCAAACACATATGCTTCATGAGCACACACAGAATGGGATCTGAAGGTGGTGTAACAATTCTGAGAAAGTAAATGTATGAAGTGGGTTTTTTTTTTTTTTTCCTTTTGCTTCACAAGTAAATTGCTTATAAAACTAACAGCTGCTGTTTTGAAGCTAATCTTAGTGAATTGAATGTTCTTAACCATTTCTACAATCCCACAGTCCTTTATCTTGCCTCTCCTGCTGCTTTCCCACCACCCCTGATCCCATTAGCAAAACTTGAGACAGCCTCAGCTTTTACCAAAGTGCAGCTTTGGTTTCAGCTGCCTTTCTGCAAGAGGAAGTGAATGTTGCGCTTTTTTCTCTGTGGCATGGTTGTGATAAAGCTGTGGTGCTCTTATCTCTCTTTTAGGTAGTGGCTCTTTATGACTACACAGCGCATCGATCAGATGAGCTAACCATCCATCGCAGTGACATTATCCAAGTGTTATACAAAGATAATGATAACTGGTGGTTTGGCAGCCTAGCAAATGGACAGCAAGGCTATTTTCCAGCTAATTATGTGGCTGGTGAAAGTAAGTTTACTGCTGTCTTCCTGGTATACCGGTGTGGGTTTAACTGATGGTCCAAGATTTTACCATGCTGTACTGCTTATTCTTCTGAAGATACAAATTTATGCAGCATACAGATGGCATAATGATGACTTATTGTGATGCAGAAATTGTATAAAGTTAGCTAACCACTTAGCAAGTTGGCATACCTGACTTACAAAGATATTGGCACGGAGTTAAACATTCCAGCTTATATAGTACTGGTTTAATTATCAGTCAACTGGATCAATTCTTTGTCTCTTCTTACATATGTTCACCTGGTTCATGGCTTACCTTGGCGACATTTTAGGACACATCAAAGCATTTTACAGACATCTTAGGTTTTTCGTAGGTAATATCTGTTAGATCTAACCACTTACTTTTGTAAAAACTCTCTATTTTCCCCTTACTCTAATGGAGAATGCTCAGTTCCCAAATAAGTGGATTTTGGTATGAAGTTTTATAAGAACAGTAATGGTTAACTCTCATATCTGAACTTGCTACCGGGTCCTTGTCATTAAAACTGTTTTGATTAAAGTAATACAATCAAACCTAAATGAATCTGAAAAAATAATATAAGCAGCATCTTACTGAGTCAACTGATGTAAAGATGCTCAGTGTCCTGACAGTTGTTAGTATTTAATTTATGGACATAACGTGTGGTCAGAGGCTACAAGAAATTCATTTGCCTGCCTAAACTATCAAACTATCAGTTATACTGGTGTTTAGAAATCTTTTAACCCAACATTTCTCAAGATGTTTTCCCCCATTTTCTAGTTCCTCCCTGTCTTTCAAGTGAAGTCTAGTATTTATGCCTCTTCCCTAAAAAAAACTTGGATATAACACTGTGCTAACTTGATGATGGTAATTAAAGTTAGCTTAACTACTGCTCTTTGCCTTTGTCATCCCCTTGCACATCCTGTGCATTTTCTCCTTCCTTTCTTCCTTGCAAAATAAGCCAAAGAGCAGTCTGTAGGAAGACTCTTCAGCGATGGCCTGTTGTTCAAAAAGAAAAAAAAAAAAGAGGCAGTTGTCCAGCTGTGCAAAAAAACCCCTGGTATATAATTTGCTACCTCAGTTGGTGACTCTCTTTTTATTGAATCACAAGATACATTTGTTCAGTATCAGCCGCATTGCTGTCAGTATGGACTTTGTTCTTAGTCATGTAAATGTTTGATTGTTTTTATTTAATACAATTGCCTATACATTTAAATCTAAGCTTGCTAATATAAATAAAAATTAATGGGTGAATTTTGATAAATTCTTGTGCAAAGTTTGGCTTCAAATATTTTTCACCTATTTCAGTTCACATCCTGTTATTGGCTATATCATAATGTCATGATTGTTCACATAAAATAGATACTTTCATAATTCTTTCATGGCTCTCACAATGGTGAATTGTGGATCCTGTTTTCAGAAGAATATGAAGAACAACCTCCAGAATTAGTACCAGATTCTGCTCCTCTCCTACCTGAAGGAATAACAGAAGCAGAGGTAGGCTCACTGACAATACATAAGGTAATAATTTGAGAAGGAAGGATTCTGTAAGTAATGTTGGACTATGTCCTTTGTGTGCCAGGTGGACTGTATTAATTTTCCATCCTTTTTGGAAAAATGTCTTATGTATAGACCCCATTCCAGGCAAGCAGGTAGATTTTCAGCAGATGTCTAACGTTTATCTTGTGTGGAACCAGCTGTTCCATCATCTGGCAATTAAATATTCTGCCTACTCTTGCAGCATTGTAATGAGTGGCAAATCTCCCATTGACCCCAAGGTTGACAGAAGTATCTCTCAGAGCTACCTGATATAAGTAATGGATGAAGAAACAACACTGATCTGTCAAAACCTGACATACTTTTGGGCACTTGACTGTCTTGGAATGTGCACTGCCCACAGATTCTTCAAATTTTCTGCCATGAAACTTCCATATCTATCAGGTTGCTTAGGAAAAAGCTGTGATGTTTTTCTCTCAAGAGTTTTTTCAGTCTGTGTAATAGTATCCTAATTAAAGATATACAGTGTGGTCATAAAGCCTTATTACCAGACCATGAGATACACTGCATCTAAATGTGCTTACTTGTCAATGAATATTTCTGTTTAAAAGCTGCTGATGGTTCTCTGATGTGAATGACTGCACCCATCCTGTAGGTTTCTCAAGGGGATGGACTATGGAGACTTTCATAGTTTGGAGGAGCAAAGGAAAGGGCTTTTGTCTGGACTGTATCTAATACCTCTCCACTCCTACCTGTATACTTATATTGTGTTGCGATTGCATATGGCATTGTGTTGTTTACGTATCACAGACTATGCATCAGCATTCCTGTGTCTATGACTTTAGTTAGCAGTCAGAATACAGTATGTACAGAAGAACAAAGAAACAGCAGCCAGTTTTTAGTCAAGGAAAAAAATAGGGGTTTGACTTTATTTTATTTTTTTTTCAGATCTTTAGAGATACTGCTGTGTGCAAAGCAGGCCGAATGACTCTCACTTCTCTAGACAAACAGAGATTAGAAACTTTGCATAGCTTATGTTCCCCTTCTGTGAAGTAAGGCTGATGCTTGTCTTAAAACATGGGATACTTTGTAAGGGGAGGAAAAAAAAAAGTTATAGAATTTAGTTCAATAACTGTTAAAATTGAAGATTTTTTTTTTTGTTCCAAAATGGTTGTATCCTTCAGTGTGCTTTCCACAGCAATTCATTTAGTCAAAGGTACTAACATAACTACTTTAAAAGTGACTTTTGTTCAGATTACTTTCAAATGACTTGACTTTTCCATGTAGTTTTCTAAAATTTAATCTAATATTTTGCATCTGATTTGAAAGACTCAAAAAGTATGGTATGTTGCTTAGTTATGGGTCGGTTTTTTTCTTTTTTCAGGTGATTTATCTAATCTTTGCTGCATTAATACATATTGCAATGTTCAAGGTTAAAACACTCAAAGCTACTTCTATTAACCTTTTTTTTGTGTAGCTTTTGTTTTTAATAGGTGAATAGAGAGAGGTAGCATTTCATGAATTATTGAGTACAGATTACTCATTTGGCAGTCTTGCTGAAGCCAACTGCTATAAATTGAATTACTAAGTGTTTTGTTTCTAACTATACTTTAAAAATTGAATTAATCACCACACCAAGTAGTAATAATTTATCAGAAGTATCTTTTACCTCTTTGTAGCTGAGAAACTCATAGCCAAACTATTGTCCAAGACAGACAAGGGTGCATTACTTCCAGATACTCCTGTAAAGGCATAGTGGAACAAATACAGGAAAAATTACAACATTACTGGAAAGCATGAAGATTTCTTTTATCTGTTGTCTACATTGCTGTAGGCAAGAGAGGTATCCAGAAGGATATCGCTATAGTCACCCAGTTTCACTCATACCCAAATTAGAACAGGGAGAAGTGCTGAGATACTTAGTGTCATTAAAGACTTGATCATTTTTATCCACATCTTTTTTTTCTGTTTTAAGCTAGTAGAAATCTAGTTGGTTTACTGGATCAAAAAAATTTTATGTGCTCTAAGTAGTATTTCTAATGTTTATAATCAGTATTTATTATTCAACTCTGTGAGAAGTAACATTTGATGGGTTTTGATAGCTTATATTTTCTTACGTGTCTACAGTTGACATATTATTCTAACAATAGTTTTTGTTACTTTTTGTAACAGTTATAGTAATATTTCATCAAAATATTCTTTAGTTTGATTCTACTGGCACATTGAATTAAATTGACTGTATATTTAATAATTAGTTGGAATTTTGTAGTAAAGTCTATCTAGTACATACAGGTATTCAAAAGACATAATGAATAGTGTATGGAAACAGTCCAAAACCAAGCAAATATGCTGCTTTTTATCTTGCACAGCCTCCAAGGGCACTACAGAATCATAAAGGATCCAGAGAAAAGTAATGAAACATTTACAAGTCCTGGAAAAAAATTACATGAGAGGATATACTTACAAGATTAAACTAGCAGAGGATGAGCAGTGAAGAGAATGTATAAAATGATACATAGCGTAGAGAGGTGAATTGGATGCGCTCTTTTTCCTTTTTTTTTTTTTTCCCCCCCCTTCCTGCTGTTAAACAAGATCAGGAAACATGAAGCTGGAATGGAGCACATCTAATATTGGTAGAAGAAAATTTTTGCTTATGCCATGCTTAGTTAACCTGGTGAACCTAACTACCACAAGACACTATTAAACTTAGGCGCTCAGGGATTATTTTTTTTAATAACGCATTTTAGGTAACAGCTGAGATTCCAAAGCGTCTAAATGACTGGGAAACACAAATCTGGTTGATTATTTTTTTAAATTATTTTTTAAGTTACATAAGCACCGTATTAATCACCAAGAAGATAATGAGTTGAATCGAATGATGAATCAAATCTCTGTGTAAGACTTGTGATGCCTTGAAGTATAATGGTTTTACAAAAGCTGCAGAGTGCTCCATAGAAGAAAAAAGCTGTCATTCAACTGTTTGTCATAATGAAGGAGAGTTCTACAGTGCTTCGGCTTTAGGCAATACCAGATACTTCTGAGACAAAACTGCTAAGACGACCACTGAGGGGGCTGATCGGTTATGGCAGTTCCTGTGTTGCAGCAGTGACACAGCAACTTTTCTTCCTATTACTTTCATTTTTTTTTCAGTATTAGAGCTGTTGGTGAATTGGAAATGCCAATTTCTTTTACATGGGAAATATGAAAAATCATTATTTTGTAATACCCTATGATATTTTTTTTGCTTTGGCAGAAAATTAAGCTGCTTTTTTTTTTTTTTTTAGTCCAAAAATATTTATCAAATAATTAAGTTGTTGCTTAAGTTGTTACCACAAGCAGGAAAATATAACTGAATTTTTAGTTGTGTTTGTTTTTTGGTCACAAGCATGTTTTCCCCAATACTTAGTTATATCCAGGTTAGCTATATCTATTGTTCTTTCTGGTTTTTTTGAGGAATACTTAAATATTTAGCTCTGTTAAGACTGCAAAAACACAGTTACTGTGAAAATCATCATAGCAGTTACTTCTGAGATTTTGCTACCATACAAGATTAAATAGGTCACTTAAAATGTGGAAGAATGCTATGGTTTTAATTACTGAGAATATCAGATAGTCTAATTAAAAATAGTTTTCTAACTGCACATATTATAAATGCATATCTAGCTAATCTTAAGAACTTTATGATGAGTGAATAAAAGGGAATCATTAACATTAGAAGAGGGTGTAATACTCAAGATTCAATATTAATCTTTGCAAATAATAAAAAAAAGTTGTAGCTCAAAGAACCTGCTTTCAAAATGCTTTCTACCATCAGCTTTGCATTCATAACATAATAATTTTATGCAAACCTTGTTTTCCTGCCTTATGAGTTACTTAACTCCTGAGCCACAAAATTAGGTCATAATCATCTTTAATTACAACATACATCTAAACTGCCAATAGAAATTTCATGGAGTGCAGGTCTCACTGCACCGATGAAGAATCCCAAGAAATAGAGACAGACTTGTCATCTGGCTTCTCCAGTAAATGTGCTATTTTCATGTTCCTTAAGATGAAGGCAGAAAAGACAGGAATTCAGATAGAGTTCTAATAGAAACCAGAATTTGGGTTTTGCAAAATTTTGGCAAATCAGAGACATTTCAAAGTCAATAGAGTGCCTTGGG